TTATTATAAACCAGTTCCACTGCAGCAACTGGTTTCCAAAGATGGCTTCCAGTGATGTACTTCTCCTGGTATTCACATCCTATGCAGTTCTGGCACCTTGAATCTGGGCTGGCCCCGTGGCTCACCTTTGATCAATACAATGCAGCACAGGTGAAGCCGCATGACCACCAATGCTACCTCCCACAAGGTCTTGTAGATTCCACCTCCACACATGGTCTGGATGAAGCCTCCCACAAGTACAAATATCCAACCACCCAGAGGCCACCAAACAAAAGGAAGCCAGAGTCAGTCCTGTGGAATGCCCCATGGATGGACTGAAACGCTTGGCAATTCCAGCCATCCCACCTAAAGCACCATCTTGCACATAGCTCAGCTGTCTTCAAATGACTCCAACCCTGGGCTCTTTCTGACTGCACTGGCAGGAAAGACCACAGTGACAACCATCTGGCTGAGTTCAGTCAACTTGCAGAACAATGAGAAGTAATAAGAAGTTATTGTTGTAAGACACCGAATCTTCAGGTGTTTAGTTTATTCAGTAACAGAAAACTGCAAAATACCACCACCAAAAATGGTCCTAGATCCAAACATTTCTTTTTCTGCAAACATTATATTCATGCCTGAAGACCTGGATTGAGGTTTCACCCAACACACTCTCCCACAATGCATGTATTTCTGCCATTTAAAAAAAAAAAAATGTGTCTTGTTCTTTTTAGTCTAATAAAACCTGTGAACCTCCACTGGAGGTCAGGAAAACTGGGTCTCCATACAGTTGGGACTACTGTAATTTTAGCAAATCCCTAGACTCCCTGAAGCTTAGGTTCTTCTCTGAAAATTGATGGGGATTTGATTTTTAAATTTTACTTAGTGTGTACTGGGCAACGTTTACTTCTTTCCCCAAGTAGAAATTAAGACACAAATATATGAAACAGATGGGAGCGAAAGAATTCTAACTAAAGTGGGAGAGACTATACTGGAGTGGTGGTGAGAAGAGGGCACCAGAACCAGAAGACCTAAGTTCAAGTGCCAGCTCCTCCCTACATTGGTCCTAAGAACCTGGATTCCCTGGGAACCTGGTGTGAAAACTACTGAACTGGATGATGTCAGACACCTTCCTACTTCACGGGTTGTGATCTGTAGCATTTACCGCATAGAACATAGACATTCTAGGACTCTGAGGTAGATTTTAACATATATTTATTTAATTTATTTTAATTTATTTATTTTAATTTTTAAAGAGCATTGACCAGGAAGAGTCTTTGTATGGCTTTGTATGGCTTCTGCTCTCTCAATGAACCAGATTTATTCTAGTGTTTCCTAGAACAGTGAACACTTCCCATCTGCCTGTTCCTCTCAACACAGGTGCTAAGCTTAGTTATTGCTTCATCTCTAGGGAGAGAAATAGTATTTCAAATTTCCCAATATATATAACTTGGCTTGGGAAGTAGTAGGCTAAAATCACTCTTTTGATTTATTTATTTTATTTTTTGTAATACTAGGGATTGAACCCAGCAGTGCTTAACCACAGAGTCACATTCTTAGCCTTTATTTATATTTTTATTTAGAGACAGGGTCTTTTTAAGTTACTCAGGGCCTCACTAAGTTGCTGAGGTTGACTTCAAACCCACAAATCTCCTGACTCAGCCTCCTGAGCTACTGGGATTATAGTTGTGGGCCACCATGTCTGGCACTCTTTCAATTTTTGAAAACTCTTATTGTCAAAGGCCTTCATTGTAGAAGATTCCACAGCCTGTTATACATTCCCATTCCAATGCCCAATGCTTGTATTCATTAGGAAGCTTTTCTTTGTATTTAATATAAAACATTCAATAATAGTATCCCTTCGGGTAATGCTTCTCAATTTTCATTCTTATAACTTTTTAAAAAAAGACTTAGAATTCAGTTCACCAATGTCACTGTATAGCTTTCTTCTTTATTCTCACTTTTTTCCCATTATCTCTTTTGGATAATTGACCTTAATTGAAAATAGGAATGGTCTGATAAATGTTTCTGAAGTTCTTTGATTATGAAATATTATGCATAGTTAAATTATTACAGAGCATCCAGGTTTCATCTTAATAAAGTTATCAACATCTTTCATCAATGGAAAATGCCATCAGACAATCTGCATAAAATTACAAGCATGTGAAGATAATTTACACATACTTATATTGGCTAATAAATATACATCTCTTCCATGTATTATAAATTGGGTAATTATTTGTCCATACATCACAACCAAATCTTCACTCAAATTTCCAAACTCATTATTTGAACTCTGACCCTGAGACTACAAATGAATGCACAATACATCGAATCTGTTTTTTAAAAAGACCACTGTTTTCCAATATTATAAGCTGATTGAACAGAAGTTCCCATCTCCATAAAGGTGACAGGTTAGGTATCTTCTACCAAACCTGTTTCAACAACTGTGAAAAGGATCAGCTAGAACTTTTCTTCAATATTATAAACAAGAATTTAGATTCCCAGAGGCTTGTAGGAAGAAAAGTAAAAATAAAAGATCTTCCTAAAATTTATTTTAGGCATAATCTTCTGTCTCTATTTTGTTATACCACATTGAAATTTCCCCTATTATTTGATTGCTGCTGCCTTTTAAATACTGTATTTCATTTTATGGTTTAATAGCTACAAGAATAAACAAAGGAGGCAGCTGTTTGGCAATGTCTTTTAAACGTCAGCAAATGTCACTGAGTAAAATAATGTAACTTATGTGCTTCAGACCCAACTTCCTTCCACTCCCATAACCTCTCCTGTTCTTTCTCACTTAAGACCACACCATTGGAAGTCCTCATCCCATACACTGAAGAATGAGTTTCAAAGAATCTGTGTACTTTTTAATTGAGCTGTAAGCCTGTGCTAGAGCCACTCTGAACACTTTCCTTTACCCATGCAACAAAAGAGGCCTGACTGCAGTTTTCCAAAAGGTTAAGCATAGAATATCACATGTCCCAGGAAATCTACTTCTAGATATGTATCCAGAAGAACAGAAAGCAGGGACTTGGACAGATATTTGTACACCAGTGTTCATAGCAGCATTGTTCACAATAGGCAAAAGGTAAAAAATAACCCAAATGCCCATCAACAGATAAATGGATAAAGAAAATAAGATACATGGTATATGCATGTAATAATGAAATACCAATCAATAGAATGAAATTTTGACATATGCCACAACAAGGAGGGACACTGAAAATATGCTGAGTGAAATAAATCAGACACAGAAGGGAAATTATTATATGATTCCATTTAATACGAGGCACTTTCATAGAGACAGAAAGTAGAATAGAGATGACTAGGGAATGGGAGGAGGGAGCTGGAGAGAGATTTATTTCTTAATGAGTTTAATGGAAATTACCATTTAATGAGATTTTATGCTGGGAATGAATTTTTTTAATATAGGTAGTGGTGATGATTACACAACATTGCAAATGTATTTAATGTCACTGAATCATATACTTACCAATGATTAACATGATAAATATTATGTTAGGTATATTTTACCACAAATTTTTTTAATTACTTTGAGGGGAAAAGAGTCAGATCTGAGATCAGTAGTGCTTGGAAGGCACCTGAGATTTGAAGAGTCACTACCCAGAGGTGGGAGTTTGACAACCTCTTCTAAGTTCCCAGACCACTCCCACCCTGAATAGGGTGGGGAACTGGAGAAGGAGCGCAAAGGCCTCAGGAAGACATAGCAATGCACACCAAAGAGACAGCCTCCAGCTTCCAGGTCACCCAGAGCATTCCCTACCCAGCATGGCTCCCCAGTGGGGGGGGGGGGGGTGTCCTTTTTAGAAAGAAGAGACCAGATAGGCCAACTCTAAAGGAATTTGTGCAAACTATTCGTTTGTTTTTCAAGTGTCACAAGAACCAATTTTGGAGCAAGTTGACTACAAAAAGATGCTTCTGTTCTCCCAATCTAACAATGTAAGCTAGTTGATGGAAAGAATGTAACAAAACCTTGGAAGGGACTTGCATCTCGAAAATGTTTGAGATTATTTGGAAATGTGAGTGTCTTACACAGGCACACACACATCACATACATATGTGAATACTAAAATTCTTTGTAATATTCCTAAATCTAAAGTTAATTTTAAAAGAAAGATGAAGGACGTGCAACCTGAGAACACAGATGTCTTAATTTCTTCCCAGGTGATGTTTGCAACTATTTCCACTTTTTAATTGTTTTGAAGTTAGATTTCCAACAATAGGTTTTATATTAGTAATTCTTATTATCAACTACTCTCTAGCAAATTGGAAAACCACCAACAAAAATGTTATTGGTTATAATGTCAATGTTTAGAACTATGCTTGGAATACCAAGCCTCACGAATTTGTTGAGTGAAGGGTTGTTTCAAATGCAAAACTTCAGATAAGGACCAGCCTGTCAAAACCCCACCAAGGATAGGAAGAAGAGGCATTTATTATATTGGCTGGGTGCATGGTAAATAAGATGCTAATGAGATTTTTGATGATTGCTTCCCACCTACCACAGAACTAGGGAAGGGTTAACCAGGCAACCACTAAAGACAAACTACTTCTTATCACCTTAGTTATTCCCACATAAAAAATTGAGAGGACCTATTGTTTAAGCACAAAGAGGCAGTCCTCAATGAGGCAACATCCTGTCTGAATAATTTAGGCCAGGCATAGGCCAGCCCACACAGTGCATTGGTGTGCGAGAAAGTCCCATTCCGTCTCATCCATTTCCTGTATCTAGATCCCGCTGCTGTTCTTTAAAATTCCCCTGTTACGTCGAGGTAGGAAAAAAAAAAAAGCCCAATTTATCAGGCGGCTAAATATATTGTGCCTTCTTAGGCAAATATATCACCTGCTTGGCCAATTAGCTTCGTCTCCCAGAAAGACTAGTTCAACAGGTTTCCTTTTTCTCCTCGGCGGCCTCCTGGGTTGGGGAAAGAGGCTGTCACTTGGTTTGGACCCTCCCCTTCCCTCCCTCCGGCTCTCCCACAGTGGGTGGGGCCAATCGCGCCGGCTCGAACGTGGCCAGGTTGGCGGCCCCCGGAGCTCGGGGGCCTGGATGCGCTGCGCCGCGCGGCGGAGGGCGCGGGGAGGGCGCGGCACGGCTCGCTGGCCTGCGCCCCGGAGCCTGCGGGAAGGAACCGCGCCGACACGCCGCGCCGAGTCTGAAGGTGCCCTGTGGACCCGGCCCTGATGACTGAACTACAGCAAGATGTGGAAGACACAAAGCCTGCGAAAGTGCTCGCCAAGAGAGAGGGCAAAGTTGGTTCAGCCCAGTAAGTAGTAGTCTCCGGTGGGACACATCCGAGGCGGTAGACCGCGCGCTGTTGCCCCAACCCCAGACCTCTCTGCCCGGGGACGAGTGCGGATGGGAAAGATTTTCTGGAATTTTTATATGGACAGTCTTGTGTCCTGAACTCTTTCGGAGGCGCCCGATCTCTCCGTCTCCTCCCCGCCCCCTGTCTTTTACATATGCGATGGAGCTCTGAGTCGGTGGGGATGTGAAATATTTGATCCGAAAGCATAATTGATGTTTTTTACTTCTCAAGGGGTGTCTGAGAAAACTTTGAAATCCTCAAGACATGTCAGGAAACTGCACCAACATTCATTTCAGTTGTCCTACTTCTTAGTGACATCTGGGGAGATCCAGTTGTCTCTAGTTATTGGATGTCATATGACTACTACCTTCACAATGATGTGTGGTTTATGTGATTCAGAGCTTGTGGGTGTCTTTGCCTCATCTCCTTCGCTGTTTCCCCTCGAGAAGGGAAACGTGAGATAGGTCTTATCTTTCCCCTCAGACACTACCTGTCTTTGATTGAGTACTTAATCCAAACTTTTTTGTACAGAGAGTGTAAGGGTGAGGTGGGGAAGCACAATGAATATGCAATAAAAACACTTGGATTTTGACTCTCTTCTTAAAACATGTATGTGAACAATAGCACGATTTGCACATTATTTGACCTATAAACTCTGACTTAAGAAACTAAAAGTTCAAATATTTTGATCACAGGATTAATTTCCTGTAACGAAACTAATTTTTCTTCCCTGTATTCCTTTGAATAGCTTTTTAAATGAAAAAGTGTGGTTTTTATTTTTATTTTTTTTTTAAAGTGTGGTTTTTAAATGATCATTTTTCCCATTCTTATTTTTAAAAGGAAAATGATATTTCAGCATTTGCTTATTTATTATATCACCATAACTTTAAGTGAGAGTAAAATCAATATCTAAATCAATATCACCCAATTTTATTTTATGATGTCAAGTTGTTGGGGTACTAAAATATTTTATTGATGCTAGAATGAAAAGATGATAACTTTTTATTAATAATGAAGATTCAATCCCCATCATTTTATCATTGAGTCTTTTTTCTTTTTTTCAAAAAATCACAGCCTTATTCCACATAAGGACTTGTGCCGATAAGTGCAGATTCTAAATGTGTACCAGCTGAAGTTTAAGCCTAAGTTTCAGAAGAAGAGCATCATTGACAGCTTTGATGTGTCATTTCAAGGCTTTGGTCATATTGTGTCCAGGATTTCTGCCTCCTTTGGCTGCCCTATCCTTTGTCTTCCCAGGATTGTCAATGTAATCTGACATTCCTATTCTGCATGATAAAGAGAAAATTGCTACAAGTGAAACCCCCTGAAAATGTTGTTTACTCACTCAATATAAAAATTCTAACTTTATAATATTTCCTATACAAGGGAAAATACGAACTGTCAAGTTACATCTATTTACTTTGCATTCCATCATTCTTGTGTTTATTTTATTTATCTGAAGAAGAGGCAAAGTCCTTTCACCATAGTATAGATGTTAGAGGTGACGAGCATTTTATTGATGCTAGAATGAAAAAATGTAGCTGGAAAAAATTTTCTGGAACTTTTATATGGACAGTGTTGTGTCATGAACTCTTTTTGTGGTGTCTCTCTCTCTCTCTGTGTCTCTATCTTTATCTCTATCATTATCCCTCCAACCCCCTTTTAGATCCAGAAGAAAGGCTGGAATCCAGGCCTTGAAACTCCTAGCCCAGGACTTGTCCAAGGCAGCCTTTAACTCCAGTTACACAAAGCAGGACGATTTAAATGTACCCAAGGGTTCCCAAGTATTGAAATCTTCATATTCCCAGGTGTCAGATACTCAGTGAAGAGATGATTTTGATTGATTAAAAAGTCCACCATAGACTATAGAAAGTTTTTCTTATTTTGAAACTCAGATGGTGGGAAAATAATTTTGTAGAAAATAAGCCTAAACCACATTGAAGCTTAAGATCCCCACACAGCCCTTCATTTAGAACTGAATTTCACAAATTCATCTCAGCTTAATAAATACCACAGAACCTGCTTGTTGAACAGTAGTGGACAATACAAAGATAACTGTGATTTGGGATCTTCCCTTCTGGAACTCCAAGAGCAGGGAGGCACAGATATATGGTACTGTACTTCAAGGGACATACATTGGTGGCCATTGCCACATTAAACAGACAAGGCTTATAATTGAATCTTCTCTATAGTAAAGATTTTTACCTATTTGTCAGTCTTTGGCAAACTCTATTGCTTTTGGAAGTTTGTTTTTCCCTACAAAATGGTATCTGTGTTTACTAAAGTCATCTCTGATTTGATCTAAGATTTTAGATACTATTATCTTCTGAGTTCTTAAACTCTTGTTCTGGTGTCAGAATAAGAGTAATTTTAAGAAAGAATATCATTATCACAATTATGCATTAGTGTGGTGATTCTGTATTGAAATCATTCTAGGCTGCCAAAAAAAAAATATTTATGCTTAGAAATCCTGTCTAGCTTTTCTGTTTTAGACTTTATATTTAGATTAATTATTTCTGAGCTCAAAGTCTTATTGAAGTCCAGGGGTCCTCATGGACATTCTTCTAGGAGAATTTGAGTGGCTCACTCTTCCCTATTTCCCTGTGTCTGTCACTGTACCCACCTAGGCTTGTGACTTAGAACCAAGTCTCGTAGGTAGGTAATGATCACCACCATTTATTGAGAATGCTTGCTATGTGCAGGGAGTATGCTCAACACTTTACATGCATTTGCACATGGAATGAGATAGGCACTATTTTTATCTCTATTTTGCAGATAAGAACACTGAAACTCATTCAAGAGCCAAGTTGTAACCACTGCACAGTAACTTATTCCCATTCCTTAGCTCCAGAATCTAGAATCTAGAGTCACTTTCCATGGCCTACTCTGAAACACAGCCTCCTCTGCTAAGATTTTAAGATCTTTCTTTAATGATTTGGGCACTCATAAGACTCTTTTTTACCTCATTGCCTAATACTGGTCAGCATGTACATCTTTTATAGACAACCATATAAGCAGTCCTCTACTTGAAGAGGTATTATACAGTACTCCCATATTCTCTGTAGCATTATTCATAGTAGTCAATGTGTGGAATCAGCCTTCACATATCAATGGATGAATGAATAAAGAAAAAGCAGCATATAAATAGTGTATCCTTTAAAAAGAAAGAAATCTGTCATTTGCCACACAGATATATCTGCAGGACATTATGTTAAGTGGAACAAGCCAGGCACAGATTGACAAACAGAATGTGATCTCATTTATATGTGAAATGTAGAAATGTTGATTTCCTTGAAGTTGAGTGGAATGGTGTTTGCCACAGGCTAGGGATGATGTGGAGTTGTTCATCAAAGGATACAAAGGGTTCAATGTTTTGAGGTCTGTTGCACAGCAGGGTGACTGTATCTAGTCAGTAACTATGTATATTTTTAAATAACTTAAGAGTAAATTTTAAATGTCTTATAAAAATCATAGGTAAGTGAGGTGCCAGATATTAGCTTGACTTAATCCTTTCATATTTTATACATATATAAAACATTGCACTGTTTCCCATAAATGTACACAATTGTGACCAATCAATTAAACATATAAATTAAAAATAATTAAATAAAGTATATATTTCTTATTTCTTTATTTTTTTTATATTCTCTCCCTGCTCACTTTTCAAATGAGAGGAAGATGGTAACTTGGGGGTTTATTGATTTAATGAAATTACTTGTTTGATGAAGTAGACAATATCATTTGTGCATTATGCTCTGGCTTAACCCCAGACTTATTGAATTACCATTTATATATGTTTTACAGATAAATACTTACCCCCGCACACACACATTCACACAGATCAGAAATTTCTTTGACAATACATTATAGAATTTGAACCAATAATGGAGTTTACAACCTTCCGTTTTACAAATAATACTTATGGCATAAGAATTAGGCACGAGATCTAGAGCCCTAGATTCCTCATCAGTGTTCTTGTAGCCATTCCCAAATCCTCAGATCATGTGACACAGAACATTAACTCATGATAATTATAAAGTAGTTTAAGAAATTTAAGAGTCCTATTCTGAACCATAGAACCATGTGGCAATTTGTCTATAAGGACTTAAATCTGAAAATACACCTTCTCAGTTATGTGACAGAAACAATAAAATTGTTTGGAATAGTGGGTGACTTTTTTGTCCTGTTAGTACTGTTTTCTCAATGTTATACTGATATTGGCACAATAAATATCCTCTAATACACAGGGAGCTACACTGGACTAATCCCTTCTTTTTTTAAGTATCCAAGCCAGGAGTAGAGACTTTCTTCATCATGTTCTTAACCCTCTTGGCGTTGGCTTTTTCATCCATTTATATTTCTTATAAAACAAAAAAGAGACACCATGCAAATTGAACAAAATATATGCCTACTGTAGGACTGAATGAATCCCCATCTGCCTTTCTTCTCCCCACCTCTATTCCTTCACTCAAGCAGTTCCCTCTCTGTCTCTTACAATTCTAGAAATCAGTTCCTCTTCACTTAAAGCCTTCTCTTATCACTGGCCACAAACATCTCTTCCTTATCAGTGCTCATGTTATACCTACAGGGTCAGTCCTATGGAATTTCGCTACTGCTATTTAACAATTAATGCTTATTGAAGGGTTAGCTTATACAAATACTGTTTAAGTTGTTAACATATATTAACTCACATGTTAACCACCAGATTACATTGAGTGTCTTTCCCTAAATAGATCACAAACTCTGATTGCATTTTCTCCTTACTGAATTTCTCAGAAGGCACACAAGTAGTCACTTTCATAAACCATCTGTTAGTGAACTAAGGCGGTTGAGACCCCTGATCCAGTAATTAAAATATATAATATAATTAAATTAAAATATATAGTATAGCTGCCATTCATCTGGACTATGTCAGGGCAAATTCTACATTTTACCATTTCCTTAAAGTTTCTATCAGT